TTTGCTGGAAGAAAGAATAAAGATAGTGTCCGTGGAATTGTGAGTAGGTCTGAATTTCCTGAAGCTAAACCAAGGATTCTGATAGATTTAAAACCTCTGACTGGTAAACTGAGGAGTTTAGGTTTTCATTTATGCTTTCAGTCAGCAAACATTTTTTGAGAGCTACCATGTTGTAGGAATGGTGGATTCACTTCTTGACAAAATGCACTTGGGATTCCTTGCTTTGCTTTTGGTTTTCTAAGGAGCAGACCTAATCAGTCACAGTCCTTGCCTCTCATTTGAGCTCAGTTCAGGGCCAGCCTCCGCGGGGCTGCGGTGGGGGGGGGGGGTGCGGGGGGGGCTGCTGAATATTATTAGTAAAGACAAAGCAAAGAAGGAACAGAAACCAGCTCTCTTCCTCCTTCTCTCTTTTCTTTCACTATGTCAACCTGCAGCTATTTCCCTAAGGCTGGTTTTCACTCCTACTTCATCCTACCCTGCCTTCCTAGATCCTCTGCAGAAAATTCCAGGAGAATTACTTTTCCTCTGAAATACAGATGAGCCTAACTGGTGGGAATGGAAAACAATAAAGCCACTTGAGAAGACAGATTGGCAGTTTCTTATAAAAATAAACATACTCTTACCATACAATCCAGCAATTGGGCTCTTTGGTATTTACCCCAAGGAATTAGAAACTTATGCCCACACAAAAACCGGAACATGGATATTTATAGCAGTTTTATCTATAATTGCCAAAACTTGGAAGCATCCAAGATGGCCTTCAGTAGGTGAATGGATAAACAAACTATGATACATACAGACAATGGACTATTACTCAGCACTAAAAACAAATGAGCTATCAAGCCATGAAAAGGCATGGAGGAAACTTAAAAGCATATTGCTAAATGAAAGAAGCCAATCTGAAAAGCCTACATACCAACTATATGTACGAGCCACATTCATTCCTTATAGGCCTCATTTAATTGCTTCATACATTCTATTTAACACTATTTGATGCAGAAGATTTAGAGCAGTGTGATTCCAACTATATGACATTCTGGAAAAGGCAAAACTATGGGGACAATAAGAAGATCAGTGATTGCCAGGGGTTTGGGAATAGGCAGAGCACAGAGGATTTTTAGGGCAGTGAAGTTATTCTATATGGTATTATTATCATGGATACATGTCATTATACATTTGTCCAAAGGCATAGAATGTACACCACCAAGAGTGAACCCAAAGATAAATTGTGGACTTTGGGTGGTAAAGATGTATCAGTGTAGGTTCATTGACTGTAACAAATGTCCCACTCTGATGGGGGATGTAGATATGTGGAAGACTATGCCTATGTGGGGGCAGGGGTTATATGGAACTCTCTGTACTTTCCAATTTTACCGTGAACCTCAAATTGCTCTAAAAATATATTTAAAAATATGTAGATACAGATATATAGAGAAACCTTTTTTATTTTTTAAAGATTTTATTTATTTATTCATGAAAGACAGAGAGAGAGAGAGAGAGAGAGGCAGAGGGAGAAGCAGGCTCCCAAGGAGCAGGGAGCCCAATGCCGGACTCGATCCCAGGACCCTGGGATCATGACCTGAGCCGAAGGCAGACGCCCAACCATCTGAGCCACCCAGGCACCCTTACTTTGTACCTTTGTATACATGAAAACATATTGTTAACCCAAGCCTGCCCAGGCTAGAGAGAATGGAGAGGAAGATTAAGGGAAAAGTTTTGCAAAAGTCTTGGGCTTGCTTCTGGCACAGGTGAGTAGGGCAAAGAGCCACAGGCTGTGTTCTGTTACTTAATGGACCACACAAAAAAAGACATTGGTCTGATCAGAAACACACGATGTTACCAGTGGTAGAGCAAGCAGCCTGGCTAGTCCCTCATGCTGGAGAAGAAAAAAGGGAAGGGGAGATGGGCTCCATGGTTGGAGGCCCAGCCCTCTGTACCACTCATCACTTTTCCTGCACCCTTCCATTGGATCCCTGGGTCTGGGCTTCCCAGAAAAGACTAGAAACCAAGGGTCACCTGCTTTAGAATCACCTGAAAATTTATAAATATTCATATTCTCAGGCCAACCTCCCAGAAAACCAAATTTGGTCATTCAGGGATAAGGTCCAGGGATCTGCATTTTCAAAAAGTTCCCAAGGCATTCTAAAGTGCATCTAGGCTTCAGAGCCACAAAACCTCGCTGCTGAGGGGCCCTTGTGCCTGTTGCCAGGAAGAGAAGGGGTAATTGTATACGAGGCCTTTCTCTTGGATACCAATCATTCACCTGTTGGCTTTACCATACTGGTATTATCATCTGCCTGTTGTATATATTCTCCCAAGGATCATCCCATCCCAGAAGTTAGGGCAAGGTCCAGATTCCAGTCTTTCCATTATGCTCTAATGGAAAAAAGAGTTAAATTCCTACCTGCCTCTCCTTTTTTCTAGTCATTCATTTGACAAATACTTACAGCATGCCTCCTAATGTGCCGTCTTCTATTCTAGGGCCTGGGAATACAATGATGAACAGGCAGATAAGGTCCTTTCTCTCCTGGTGCTTCTCTTCCACAAAAGGGGGAACTAAGAAATAAATAAGAAACAAAGATTATTTTGGGCAGAAGAGAGGACTGGAAAACAAAACAGGGTGACGTGACAGTGAGTGTTACGAAAAGGTAGGGTACATGAGAGGTGGTAGGGTAATATTCTCTAAGGAGCTAACAGTGGGGTGAAGACTGAGTGGTGAGTAGAAAACATCTAGAGGTAAACACTGCAAGGGCCACCAGCAGGAAGAAGGTTGGTGTTTCTGAGATTTTTCCAAGTTGGGGCTTAGAGAGTACCCAACAGGAGGAGAGGTGAGGTTGGAGAAGCATTTTATTTCAAGTGCAATGGCTAAGCCACTGACAAATTTTAAGCAGAGGAGTAACACGATCTGGCTTATATTTTAAAACAAAATCCTCTGGCCACTGTGATAAAAATGGATTGAGTAGGTTGGGGTTGGGCTGAAGGGGGGCAGGGTTCAAGAGAAGAAGCAAGGAAAGCAGGTTACAGTGGTAGCAGAGGCCGAGCATATGGTGATTTGGAATGGGACAGAGGTGATATAAGTGGGAAAATTCAAGATCTACTTTGGAGGTAGAGCTGATAGGACTTGTTAATGGTTTGGATAAGAGTTGTGAGGAAAAGAGAAGAATCAAGGATGGCTCTTAGAAACTTAGTTTTGAACCACTGAGTGAATGATGCAGTAGACTTAAAGATACTGTTTGGGAATGTTTGGAACACCTATTAAACAGTTAAGTGACAAAGTAGAGTAGCATTAGATATATGAGTTTAGAGTTCAGTGGTGAGATCAGGGGTAGAGATAAGGAGAGTCAGGAGCCTAAGAATAGTATTTGACACCATTGGGGTAGGCTGAATAATGACCCCCCAAATATGTCCATGTCCTAATCCCTGGAACCCTAAAGGACCTGTTGTTCATGAAAGCACTTAAAATATGTTTTTTGTAGGTCTCACACCACACCCAAGGTAGGTATTGTTATTTTCCACTTAATAGATGGGGAACCTGAAGCTCAGAGAAGTGGAATGCCTTGTTCCAGGTACCAGAACTGGAAAATACCTGTTTCACTTTCAAGTGCCTTACAGAATTTCAAGGATGGGTAAAGAGTTGCACTGTGTGCTTTGAGACAGGTCCTTTGCAGCGTACTGCCTTGGCTGCCAAAAACCTGCCCTAGAAATGCATTTCTATGAGGCCTGTCATTTCTTTGCCCAGCTCTGGCATATTATTTTTCTGACCTCCAGAGCCTTTGCCAGCCCAATCACACCTCATGGCCACTCCTCAGCTAGTTTGTTAGCTCTGGAGGGGCTTAATAGGGTCATCACATAATGAACAACCCCACATGCCAGGCCCTGTGCAAGGCACCTAACTTTCATTCAATAATCACAATAACTCTTTCCATTGTCTTTGGAGCGAGCTAGAAAGGCTGGATTACTGGGGAATGGAAAGAAGACAGGACCAGGAGCAAAGGGAGCCTGGGTTCAAGTTAAGGGTGGTGGGGGTGGGGGATGGGGGTGGCGCATAGCCTTAACTGGGAGCTAAAGTAACCTTGGGCTGGCAATTCAGTCCTTTAAGAAAATCAGAAAGATTACACTGCAGATGATTTCGAAACTCCCTCGAAGATACTTGTGTGAGAGATTCTCTTCTTTCCCCATCTCTAGGGCTCCACTATTATAGGCAGCAGTCGGAACCAAGGGTGTAGTGGCCGCCTGCCTGTTCAGCCCTGGGCTGCCTCTCAACTCCCTCCTTAGAGATGAGTCCGGGCCGCGACTCAGCCCATTGCCCGGGACGCTGCCGGGCTCCGAAGTGGGCGATAGGTCATTCCAGGATAAGGAAGAGGAGGCTCTGAAACACTGCAACTCCCAGGAGCCCTTGGGGAGCCACTCGGCAGCCTGGGCATGGTGCATGCTGGGAGCAGTATGTCGCCTCCTGCCGCGGCAGGCTCATTGTTAAGGCCCCTCAGGACAGGTAACCCGTGCGCATGCCCAGTCACGTCCCAACTAGTTCGGCTTTTTTCCTTCCTGCAGGATTCTTCTCTTTCCGGCCTCGCCCAGGCGCGCTTTTCCCCGCCCCACCCCCCGCCCCCTTTTCAAGGATTTTGGAGGGGGCGGGACCTCTGGCAAGCGCGTTCCCAGGGGTGTTTACACGCGCGTTCATGGGAGATTAAAAAGGGAGAGGACCAAACATTGGATGTGGAAGGTGGCGAATCTAGGAGACAGCGGATAATGGAAGGCGTACGCGTTCCAGGGGCGGCGCTGCAAGGCGTCGGGAATCACGGAGGGGCGGGGCGGAAACGTGCCAGTGAGCTGACGCACGCGCATTGGGCCGCCAGCGCCCCGCCTCCTTCTTCAGGTTTCCTCTCCTCCTCCGCCACTCTTCCGGAAGTGCAGCCGCCCTCGCGCCCACCAGCGGCCACCCCCTGCGGCAGGCCCCGCCCCTCCCGGCTCCGCCCCCCAGCTCTCCGCCCCCTCCTCCGGTGGTGGCGCCGGCTTGCAGCCCGGGTCGTGGCGGTTTCGGTGCCCCAAGCCGGGAGCGCGGAGTCGTTCCCGGACCGGCGGCCAGGCTATGATCGCGGGTCCCCGGCGTCCCGCTCCGGTCACCCAGAGTCTCTGTCTCAGCTTGTGCCCGTACCCGAGCGGTCTCCTCAGCCCGACCCCGCGGCGCGGTTGTCGGCGGCGCCCCCGGCGCGCCCCCTCCTCCCGATGGCGGCGGAGATCCAGCCCAAGCCGCTGACCCGCAAGCCCATCCTGCTGCAGCGGGTCGAGGGGTCCCAGGAGGTGGTGAATATGGCCGTGATCGTGCCCAAGGAGGAGGGCGTCATCAGCGTCTCGGAGGACAGGTACGGACCGCCGCCCCTCGGCCGCGAGGAGGGGCGGGACGGGCCGGCGGTCCCGGACCCCGCGTCCCGGGCTGTGCCTCCACGTCGGCGCAAGTGTAGACATACTCCCCCAAGTTTTTATTATAATGCGCATTCTGGTGGTGCTGGTGTCCAGCTGAGCTCCGCCGCCACTGCGTGGCTCTGGGAAGCGGAGACCAGACAGCGGCGTGCGCTCTGGCCTTGCCCGGGGCGGGTGGCGCAGACCGGGCCAGGGTGGCCCTAGGACTAACTGTGCGCCGGCCACTGGACCTTGGTCCAGCCCTAAGGACGGGAGGGGAGGAGGGTGGGGCCGGCCCGCCCTGCAGGTGTGTGCGTGGGGAGGATGCTCCGAGAGCCTTTGCTAGATAACTAAGGGTTTTTGAGTACTCTGGTACAGTTCTTAGGGCTCCAGACAGAAAGTAAATGCCACTCCCTTCTCCCAGACAGTCCCACCGAATCCAGATCTCCTGTACATCTTACACTGAACTCAATGAATATTGCAAGTTGTGAAAACAGTATAACTTTGGGCTTCTGCCCGAGAGGAGAGGTGCCCTTCTCTTCTTTGCTCTCATTTTCTTATTTCTTCGACCTCAAGGGGAAGCGCCTAGAACTTGCAAGGGACCACTGCTGCAAATAGCTCTCGAGTTCCTTCCCTTTGCTTGCTTCCTTTGTTTTTGCTTAATTTTGCTTAATTTGCAGAAGTGGAGCCAGTTGTTCTGCCTTTAATAATTTCCCTTGTTTTTCAGACAATAGCATTTGCGCTTTAACTTAATTCGTTTAATATGCAGAAGTTAAGCCGATGAAGGCGATTTCCATAGGAATGATGCTTGAATATGGTGATTATGGTATTTATCTAGAATTGTTGTTTCGATAATACCAACTAGCGTTCTAAAAGATGTAACACTATAGAGGTATATGACAAGGGGCTTTTACCTTAAAACAGTAGTTAGGTTTTCTTAATGTAAATTCAAATTATGCTGAGGTAGAGAATTTTTTTCTCTGTGACCAGTACAGTTGCAGGCAGGGGCAAAGCAGCAACGTGTTCATTACTGTCTTTATAGTCATTTCAGCACTTTGTATGCAGTGTGGCCTCAAAAAAATTTGCCTGATAGGTCTATTCATATGATAGGTTCTTCAGTATAACTAAGATGAGTATATTAATAATAACTGTTTGTCTACATCATACTCCCTACAAATGGCCAAAAGGTGCTCTATTCATTTCCTAGATCCAGTGGGGAAAATTGTAAACATAGGCCAGTGGCAAGCAGTCTACAGTGAACGGAAGAAATACGCTGCTGAAACGGAGTACGTGGATTAAAAACCTTTTGAAATTCACAAAGAAGTTTATAAGTGTTTAGTTTTTTGATAGAGGCAAAATTCTATTAAGGAGATTGCTTCTGGACCTAGAAATTTGTTACAGATTTGTTTCTAAAGGGATATATTGATGTCACTTTCCCAATCTATAACTGCTGTAAATGAAACTGCTCAACCTAACTGCTGTAGGAAATTCATAAATAAGTTTGTTGAGTCAAGTAAAAGAAGGAGAAAGGTGGTTAAACTTAAGCTCCTTTAATATTAGTTTTGAAACTTTTTGCTTTGGTTGATGGTTCGGGAGTAGAGGTTAGTTTTCAGGGGTTTTTTTTGTTGTTGTTGTCTTAAGAGTTCAGAGGGATTTTATTTATTTATTTATTTTTTAAAGATTTTATTTATTTATTTGACACAGAGAGAGACCGCGAGAGAGGGAGCACAAGCAGGGGGAGTGGGAGAGGGAGAAGCAGGCTCTCCATGGAGCAGGGAGCCCGATGCGGGGCTCGATCCCAGGACCCTGGGATCATGACCTGAGCTGAAGGCAGATGCTTAACGACTGAACCACCCAGGCACCCCAAGAGTTCAGAGGGATTTTACAGGTTATTTGCTCTAACTGCTTCATTTTATGGATGAGAAAAGTTAGGCCAGAGAATTTACCTGCCCAAATTCATGTAGCAGGTGGTGAAGCCAGGCTTAGTTCCTGAGTCTCCTGATTCCCATTTTAGTGTGTTTATCTTGAAGGAAGCAGCTTAAGTAGGATGCATTTCAAGGTGTTTGGAGAAGCTGAAGTAGCATATATGAAGGAAACTGAAAGATAAATCTCATTTGATTACAGGACAAAAATGTGATGTTTAGCTATAAAGTAGCTTAATTTTCACTTTTCTAGTTTACAATTTAACTAGAATTATTTTATTAAACTAGGAATTATTTTATTATAGAGTTACTGTTAAATAAATAAGGCCCACCCATAAGTCCAGAATTATTCTTTACATATATTTTACTAATACTCAGATTGACAAATCTGTGTTTCCATGCTCACAGGTGATAATCACTTTGTTATTTAGAGCTCAGTTTTGATTATGGTTTTCCTTAAAAGAGAATTGATATGTATTCTTTCAAAATCCACTGTCAATGCCATTTGACATAATGCTAAAGATATGAAGATAGAATATTGATTTTCATCAATACGTACAAAGCCATTTCCATTAACTGCTTCAACTAGAAACTAATAGTTTTCATTCCTGAACTCTAAGGTTAAATCACAAATAACGTCCTATCCTGTCTGGCAGTGTCCTGGAAGTTCTTTGGAAACCTGGTTTCCCTTTTTGACCTCTGAATCCGGATAGCCTTTATCTAACCTTAGAAAACACTCAACATTTTCTTTTTTAAACAGTATTGTAGATACTTACGGTCCATTCATCTTCTCCATAATTTCCCACGTGTGTCTTATTATTGTAGTATCTTTAGGGCCTAGCAAAGTGCCTGACGCATGGTGGGCCCCCAGACATTTGTTGTGTATCAGTGACTGATATATTTTTGTTGTCATTCCTGAAAGCATCTTAACTATTGTAGGTATTTAGTTGATATTTATTGATTGACTTTTATGACAACCTATTAAAGCCCTGTGTGGACAAATGCGCACTTTTGGGAGGAGTGGACTGGCTGGTCTTCAGGGTGCCTTAAAACATTCATTCCATCAACAAACATTTACGTTTCTGTTGTGTTCTGAGCACTTGAGCATACTACATTGGTGAAATGGCAAGATCCTTTCAAGATACAATTTAGTTGCGTGGGGGAGAGTTTTAGAAGATAATAAGACAAAACCACAACCTCCAAGATTTCGTATTGAAAAGAGAATTTTTGAATGGGGAAGAGTGACCGGATTCCATAGCCCTTATTGTCCCCTACATTTTATCTTCTTCTGGGGGATTCTTTCAGTTGGATTACCATTTTCATCCTACTGCTGCTATCAGTAGAGGGTTGGTAATATTCTAATCCTCAGGCCAAAGAGTCAATAAAAACCTTCACCCTCAGTTTATCTCAGCACAGTTCGGACAGCCTGGAACTTTGCTGGATACCAAGGAAGGAAATATAAGGGAACATAAGAAATATAAAAACAATCTGTTTTCAAAGTTCAGATTTCTGGTGCTATCATAATACAGAACTTGTTCTGGGAACTCCCTGGCCAGTTCTGAGATTGTCTTTGCTTTGCGTATAGCTAGATTCTGTCTCTAGGGGACATACCCACCTCTGGTACTTTGGGTTCCTCATGTCCTAGCTGCCTTCTGGACTGTTTTTTCTGAGTGGATGCTATCTTAACATTCCTTGCTTAGGGGCTTCATCCGAGACATCTTAGCTCGATTTTGATGAACATTGATATCTAGTCTGCAGCTTCACAGGGCCTCCCTTGTCTTGTGATGGCCTCTTCAGTGATGAAGGCCAGGAGAGACCTCTCTCCAGGTGGGACCCAGCCCCATCTAGATGTTCACGTTTATATATGCTTTATATGCATATTTTAACACAAGTCAACAATCTTGGCATTCATACAGAGAGTTTTAGTAACTGGGCAGTTACTAGGGGGCAGTTAAAGGAAATTGTTCCTTCACCAGGAGTCTGTACCTTTGCAGTGGGTAAAGCGGGGGGGTCCATTTTTATCTCAGTATAAGGAGATGTGCTGAAGACAGGTACAGACAGCATCCTCTGGGGTTACCGAAGAATCTCTGCTCGTGGTGGTTAGAGAAAAGGAGTGCTCCTACAGCTGGGTCTTGCAGGATGACTAGGAGTTATGTGAAAAAGTGAGGGTAAAGAGCATTGTAGGTAGAGGGGGAAAAGAAAACGCTCATTCATTGAGAAGCGCTAGAATGGACCGGTTAAGAGTATAGATTCAGGAGCCAGTCAGCATGAATTCAGAACTCAGCTCTGAGTGATTTGAAGAATCTGGAAAATCATTGTCTCCAGAGGAGTGACTTTGAGTGAAACTTTCTAAAACCTCTAGGCACAAGAATTTGAAATTCTTTTCTGGACAAAAAGATCCAAGGCTGTGGTAGTGGGGTGTTGGGGAGGAGGCTCTGATGGGGGGGTGGGGTAGGGGAGGAACTGTTGGGGATGAGTGTAATGGAGAAGGGAGTGTGGGGGACCTACCACCTTATATTCTAATTTAATTCAGGACCAATTTATGCAGCATAGTTAGGGTTCCCTGTAATCCCTATGGGCAGACAGGACCCCACTCCCCCCGTGCCCCACAATGGTAAAAGAGTCAGATTTTTATCTCCAAATGAGGAGATCTGGTCCCTAGTGTCTAACACAAGGCAGTATATATTCATTGAATGAATTATGCAATGGCTGATCAGTCACCAGTTTGGAATGAATTGGGCCTGAGGAGGTGGTGAGTTTCCTGGAGCAATGATAGAGCAAAGATATTTGAGATGAGTCTGAGAGAAACTTAGTAGCTTGCTTTCAACCAGGGTAAAAATACAGCAGGGGATGGGGTTGGGAAGGGACCGGGACAAGAGAAGGGTTGGATTTTTTGTTGTTGTTGTTAATCTCTAAGGTGTTTTTTGTTTTTTCGGTTTTTTGGTTTGTTTTTGTTTTTTTAAATTCTGAACTACTCGATTCTAAGTGGTCATGACTACTTCACTATTTCTTGAAAAGACATGTTAAAATTTCATTTCATT